ATTCCCCCTCTCTCTCTCTCTCTCTCTCTCTCTCTCTCTCTCTCTCTCTCTCTCTCTCTCTCTCTCCCTCTCTTGCTTATAGATTTCCTGCCCTGGGGGCAGATGCTAGGAAACCTAGGGCTGCTCAGTTCTGTCCAGGGTAGAGGTAACTGCAGGGAAATCATGCATAAAGCTGATTTCAGAAGTGTTGTAGGCAAAATTGGCACCAGAAATAGGCATCGTTCTGTGTAGCAAGGGAGTAAAAGCTCTTCCCCAACACATACACACACCCAGGGCTTAGCTCATAAGAAACTTCTTCTGCAGATTTCTGATATTCTTTTCTAACTCTTGAGATTATAAAGCTCAACTTGATGAAGGATTTACTTGTTAAAGTGGTAGGAGGCCTCTTGCTATGTTCTGTATTGCAAAGGAATTTTTATGGTATAGCTAAGGCAGCAGTAATATGCAGATTGGAACATTGATTTGCAGGTGGACCTTTCCCCAGGATCTTAGGAAAGATGGTTGAGTGAGCAGGAGCAAAATAACCCAGAAGAAAGAAAGCACATAGATTTTAGAATCAGACAGACACAGGCTCAGGGGCTAACCCTGTTCCTTCTCAGCTGGGCGGCCTTAGACACATTCACCTAATGCCAGATTGTTTATAGCAGTGTATTCTGGGCCTTTGTGCCTGAACTGCTCTTCCCTCAAATCCTTCAGCATCTTTCCACCCCAAAAAGTGAGTTTCTGCATGACTGTGTCTCACACCACCACAGTCTTTCACTTTGTAGCACTAGTCTGAATTCAATAGTACAACATGAAGATACCTTATTCAAAACCGTTGAGGCCAGAAGTGTTTCAGATTTCAGGTGTGGGGAGGGGATGAATATATGCACATAGTACATAGTGAAATATCCTGAAGACGGGACCCAAGTCCAAACACAAGATTTGTTTATGTTTCATACATAACTTATATGCAATCTGAAGGTAATTTTATACAATATTTTTCTGGTTTTTTTACTGCACCTGTGTTTTGACTGCAACCTGTCACATGATGTCAGGTATGGAATTTTCCACTTATACTGTGTCAAGGCCGAGCTTCCCCAGAGATACGTGGAGAGGGGTTCGCTTAGTCCATATTATTTTTGGTGGTGCTGTAAGTTAATAATTCCCCCAATAAAGAACAACACACAGAGCCATTTATCATCAGCCAAAGGGGAGCATCGAGCAGGAGAGTTGAAGCTTCAGCTCCAGAGCTTAAGAGCTGTGTGTCTTTATTTCTTCAGCAATAACAGCTACTAAAAGGTGACAGTGTTCTTTAGTTTATAGAAGTTATAGTGTCCATTATCAGCTTACTAGACATGGTGAGGCAAAACTCTCGCTGTATGACCTTGTCCATGCCACACATGCATGGTTAAGTATGTTAAATCATTCGTATATAACTGTGGCCCATTGTGCACATGTCCCTGAGAGTGCAGTAGTGTCCTCAAGTGTCCTCAGGTACACTTACGTCTCCTGGGCTTTGAGTATAATCAGAAGTCATACCCCACAAATTATCACTCAAATAGTTTTGAATTTTGGAACATTTTGGATTTTGGATTTTGCAATTAGGGATGCTTAACTGCTTTATATTTATTTATCTATCACCGACTAATGTTCATCTGTCTTTCCAACAACCTGTACTCTTCATATTAGTTTTGGTCAGTATTAAAGCTTCAGCACTTAGCCCAGGACAGGCCCAAAGCTGGCCCTCAAATTTTTGTTAAATGAATGAATGACCAAGTAAAAAAGTAACAAGGTTAGTTAAGTTCTTTAAACATTTTCTGTCATTAAGAAGGATATTTGTAATACCTGCCAAGTACAGCGCAGGCAGGAACAAATTGGAAAGCATGCCAAGTGTCCAAGCCTAAGTTCTAATGGAGCATCCTAGAGGGCCCTGCTTGGCCAGTATTAACCTTTCAGTTGTTGGAAATTGCAGAGTTCTGGGAGATTCCAATGGAGAAACTGGAGATATCAGGCAGGGTAGAGGAAAGTACTTAGAAGGCTGAAAATCACTAGGAAAACATCTCACCAAATTAACAAGCACTCGATGCTATACTGATGCAAAACAGCTAAATGTCAGTTCCATCCACAAAACAGAGGAAAGATACCTAACTTTGCAAAAGTTGTGCCAAAGGAGGTAACCTACATCCATGGCATGTAGGAGAGGCAGACCTAAAGTAAGGGAAGCTCCAGAAGCTCCAGTAATGTTAGGACACAAACCCCCAGCCACCCCTGAGAGGGACAGACAAGGCCTCATCACCAATTCCAGGTGTATGGGAAAATCTGACTCAAGGTGGAAAGTATGTCAATGCCTGAAGAAATGTGGACTTGCTGGAAAAGAACAGTGCTGGAACTGACTCAGACAGAAGAGACTATGGCTCTCCAAGAGATTACTCTAAGGACATTTAGAAATAGGAGCCCCTTCTCTGAATGCTTAGCCAAGCACCCAACTAGTGTTTGAGACTCCCAGCCATTTCCTCTTCTGTGTTTATAAAAACTGCTCAACCCAGGGCACCAGGGATGTAGCTCAGCAGCATCACATCTGCCTGGCAAGCACAAGGTCCTGAGTTCAATCCTCAGCACCAAAAAAATAAAATAAAATTGCCTGACCCAAAATCTCATTTAAAGTAGAGATAGAGGCTCAAGAGTTGGGCTAAGGCTTTTCTGACATTTAAGAATGTCAGATCAGAAACCTTGGATTTTCTTCTTTCTTGAGCAGCCTTTGGGAAGCAAACATCCTGAGCATGGGAAGGACATGCTGTTGGGGTCCTTCCGGGCTACAGGGAACAAGTAATCCCTATCACATCCGATTTAGGCTCAATAAAGAATTAGTGAAGGATAAAACATATGTCATAGGACCCACGACTGGAGGTGGTTCTGAGTCCCAGAATAATGAAGCAATCGGGAACCTTAGTCCCCTAAGAAATCTGAACATTAGCTTTACTTTTCTTTCTACCTGCAGGCTAGGAGAAAATTTTCTACTGCTAACATCTGCTTTTACATCCCCTCCATTCAGCAAAGCAACTGAAGTCACGCAGAAAGGCTTCAGGGACTTGGAGACAGAATGTGATTGGTTCAGCTTAGGCAGGTGTCCACTCTGACTCATCATCTGTGGCCTAGGCTGAAAGCAGAACCACATGAATATTCGGCTTTTCTTTTCCAGCCTTGTAGATACAGGAGGGACAAGGCCATTTCTAGAGATTGTGCAGGCAGTAGACAGAAGATGCCTTCTACATGCAGTTTGCAGCATTGCACACTAAAACGTGGATCCCTATGTTCTTTCCGTTTTGTTCCATATTAGGGTTATGAAATGAAGATCACTGCGCCTACTAATACCAGAGTTGAAGCAGAGAGCTTCAGAATACAATGAGGGCTCAGAGATGTGAAGGTAGTGAATGGAACTGTACTTCCAATACTGGTTCCAAAGCTAGTCTATAAACTGGGGAGGATTGTGTGTGTCTAAAAAGAGTCCTAATAAGTAGGAGTACTTGGTATTTATTTATAGAAAAAATTTATATATATGTAAAATCTCCCACTGGTGCTCTGCTTCTGACTGCCACGAAGTGAGCTGCTTTTCTCTGCCAAGCCCTTCTACTATCATGTTTCTGCTTTGGAGCCAGCTAACATTAGACTGAACCCTCTAAATCTGTAAGCAAAAATAAATCCTCCTTTAAGATACGTGTTTCAGTTATTTGGCCCCATCAATGAAAAGCTAACCAATACAAATAGTAAGTAACATTTATGGAACACTTAGTATTCTAAGATTTAGCAGGTATTAATAATTAATCTTCCTATTAAACCCATGAGCTGAATAGTAGTATTCCTTGTAATAGATAATAGATTGGCACAGAAATGTTCAGAAATTCACCCAGGTTCCCTGGGCTCATGGCAGAATTATTGCAATCTAAGCAGTCAGCCTCTGCAGTCTCCAACTCAGCTGTTGTACCACATTCCCTCTCCAGATGTCAGCAGACACACCAGCTATAGAAGTGGGCCCAGGGAATCTGTATTTTAACAGCTCCACAG